ACAGTGGGAGGGCTTCTAATGTCCTGGCCCCACTGGTGGACCTCCTGATGGCCCCTGGTATTTCTGGCCACTGTGTGACACAGAGTGTTGGACTGGATGGGCCTTTGGCCTGATCCAACATTGGCGTCTCCTATGTTCTTATATTTTGTTGCCTGCCTCTGCGTCCTGGCCCTGGTATTCCTTGGAGGTCGCCCTTCCAAATGCTAGTCAGGGCCGACCCCACTGAGCGTCTGAGATATGATGGGATCGGGCCAGCCTGGGCTATCCGAGTCACGTCGTTATGCTAAAAGAGGGCATGGAGAACCACAAAAGCCCCCCTAAACTCCTTGGATGAAACATGGAATAAAGAAGTCCTTGGTAAAAAAAAATAATGCATTAAAAACGGCAAAAGTATAATCTTTAGGTGCCAGCCTGATTTAATACTGGGCATGTTTTTATTTATTACATTACATTACATTACACTTTCAGCTTATATACCACTCCTTCCCGAGGGCTCGGAGCGGTTTACAGAGACATTTAAATCATCCTAACTAGGACCACAGTGCAAGGGGTGTGTGTGTGTGAATGCCTACCAGGCGCCCGAACAGCAGGGTTTTTCTTGTTGTTCTCTCGGCTCTCTTTTATTCCGTGGTGGGTTCTTTCCATTTCAAATTTATTTATTTGTTTATTTGATTTATTTGATTTGTACTCCGGGAAACAGGCTCAGGGTGGCTTACATAGGTTGGTACATAAATAGCCTTTAAAATCCATATAAAATCATTTGAACATTCAGTTACAAATCAGATCATAAAATCCTAAAATCATAAAGTGTGTCGGGGTCCTTAGTCAGGCTACCAGGCAGGAGGTGATGGGAAAGGCCTTCGCCTGAGACCCTGGAGAGTTGTAAAGAGGGGCTGTGGCTCAGTGGAAGAGCCTCTGCTTGGCACACAGAAGGTCCCAGGTTCAATCCCCAGCAGCATCTGCAGTTGAAAGGACCAGGCAGGAGGGGATGGGGAAGACTTTTCTCTGCCTGAGACCCTGGAGACTGGCTGCCGGTTAGAGCAGACAAGACCGACCTGGGTGGACTGAGAGTCTGCTTCTGCAGAAGGCAGCTTCACGAGCGTTCACGCAAGCTGCGGACTGGGGCTCTCGCTTTTTTGGCACTCCAGGGCCCGCGGCAGCCGCCGAACCCTGTGATTCTGCACCGTCGCAGGAGTCTACCTTGCCTTTCAGATGTGGCTGATTTGCACTGGCACATCTGACCTCTCCCCAGGAACAGACCGGCGTGGCTCTGATTCATCTTCCTCGTGGAGGCCTGACCTAGTTTCTCTCTCCCCCCCCCCCTTTTCCTTTGTCGCAGGTTCCCTATTACGAATGGCTTGACTTGAAGTCCGAGTGGCAGAGGACCGCCTTTCTCAGGGACCGGATGAACAAGGCAGTGGCGGAAGATATGGCCAAGTAGAGACTTGAGGGGGAGGAGGAGGAGAGACTCTGGAGCCCTGCTTCTGAGGGGGGTCCCTGCCTTCCGGCCTTCCCCCCATCCATGGCAGGGTTGCCGGGAATGCGAGCGGAGTAGCAGTGTGGGTCCTTTTCAGTTGTGTACATGAATTTGAATAAATGGTCTGTTGTACAGTTCAGAGCCTCCCCTTCAGCGGCCTGTTCTGCTCCCAGTCCTGCACGGCAAAGAGGACTCTTGCTCCTGAATCATAGAATCATAGAGTTGGAAGGGGCCATGGAGACCCTCTAGCCCAGCCCCCTGCCCAGTGCAGGACCAGCCTAAAGGATCCCTGACAAATATCCGTCCATCCTCTTCTTGAAAGCTGCCAGTGAAAGAGGAGCTCACCACCTGGCAGCTGATTCCACCTCTGAACCACTCTGACCGTGAAAAAGTGTTTCGTAATATCCAGCCGATCCCTTTCTGCAGGTAATTTCAACCCGTTGCTTCGGGTCCTCTCCTCTGCTGCCGACTGGAACAGCTCCTGGCCCTCCTCCACATGACAGCCTTTCAAGTATTTAAAGAGAGCAATCATGTCCCCCCTCAATCTCCTCCAAACTAAACATTCCCAAGGTCCTTAGCCTTTCCTCATAGGACTCAGTCTCCAGACCCCTGATCATCCTTGTCGCTCTCTTCTGCACCCTCTCGATCATAAGAACAAAAGAAAGACCAGTGGTCCACGTAGTCCAGCCTCCCGTCTCACACAGGGGCCAGCCAGATCCTCTGGAGGAACAACAACAGGGCAGAGAGGCCGAGGCCTTCCCCTGACAAGAACATTAGAAGAGTCCAGAGCATAAGGAGAGCCCTGCTGGATCAGACCAATGAAGGTCCGTCTTGTCCAGCATCTCATTTCACACAGTGGCCAACCAGTTCCTCTGGAGGGCCAGCAACAGGGCACAGAGGCTGAGGTCTCCCCCGATGTTGTTTTCCAGCACTGGGATTCAGAGGTTCCCTCTGGTAGCCACTGGTAGACCTTTCCTCCATGCATCCCTTTCATATCTGCCTATGCTTCTAGCCATCACTACATCCTCTGGCAGCGAATCCCACATTTTAATCACTCTCTGTGTAAAGCAGTATTTCCTTTCGTCCATCCTCAACCTACTGCCCATGAGCTGCATTGGATGTCCTCAAGTTCTAGTATTTGGGAAGAGGGAGAAAAATTTCTCTTAACTCTCCCCACACCCCATGCCTCATTTTATCAGCCTCTATCCTGTCGTCGTCCCCCCTTAGTAGTTTCTTTTCCAAACTGAAAAGTCCCGGACTCTTCAGGCTTTCCTCCTAGGGAAGGTGTTCCAACCCCCTTTTCACGGCTTAGGGGAGGTGTCCCCTGACGCTGCCACCACTCTGGATTTAGGATCCCTTGAGAAGGCCCAGAGCACCTTCCCAAGACCTTCAGACCTCCCTTATTTGGCCGAATAACAGGCGTGAGGACCAGGCAGAGTGAACAATGAAAATAGTTTATTGTATAAGAGGTCAAACCAACAAGGTGCAGAATAATAACAGTAAGTGGGTGAAAAGAAAAGAGATCAAATGCACTTACGCGTCTAAATATACTGTCCCTAGCTCACTATCTGCAGTGGCCTTAGACTACTCACCCCTCCCTCAGGATGAGGGTCTCTCCCCCGCAGCAGCCTTCCTTCTGGCTCTGCCCTCTGGGAAGAAGAACAGCTTTTCCTGCTGCTCCAGATCTTTTATTCCAAGCCCTCCTCTTTTCCTATTGGTCCATTTTGGCTCCAAAACCTCTCAGGGGCTTCTGGGAGTTGTAGGCCCAGCCTCACCTACTGCTAGCCAGGCTCCCTGGGCCTAGTAGGCCTCTGGTGGCACAGCCCAGATCATGACACCCCTAATCATGTTGGCTGCCCTCTGTATTTTCCCCCCCAGCCCTGCAGTGTCTTTTCTAATAAACTCTGAATCCTCATATTAAGGAAGAAGAGGGCAGGGTTTGGTCCCCTGGTGGATGTAGGTAAACAGCTCATGGTTCTGGGTGCCCCAAAGGGCCACTTTTCTTTTCCAAACTTTTCCAACATTCAGCCACTCCGGTAACTCTGGAGCTTCCCTACTTGGCTGTGGAGCGTGTGTGCACACATGGAGAGGGGGTGGTGAAATGGTGTTGGTGCAAAAAGGTCATGACTGAGGAGTGTGTGTGGCTCAGTGGTAGAGCCTCTGCTTGGCATTGCAGAAGGTCCCAGGTTCAACCCACACATCTCCAGTTGAAAGGACCAGGTGGGGGTGATGTGAAAAGACCTCATTCTGAGACCCTGAAGAGCTGTAAAGAGGGGCTGTGGCTCAGTGCTAGAGCCTCTGCTTTGCACACAGAAGGTCCCAGGTTCAATCCCCAGCAGCATCTCCAGTTAAAAAGGACCAGGCAGTAGGCGATAGGAAAGACCTCCTCCCGAGACCCTGGAGAGCTGTAAAGAGGGGCCGTGGCTCAGTAGCAGAACATCTGCTTGGCACGCAGAAGGTCCCAGGTTCAATCCCTGGCATCCAGTTAAAAAGGACCAGGCAGGAGGTGATGTGAAAAGACCTCTGCCTGAGACCCTGGAGAGCTGTAAAGAGGGGCTGTGGCTCAGTGGTAGAGTCTCTGGTTGGCATGCAGAAGGTCCCAGGTTCAATCCCCGGCATCTCCAGCTAAAAAGGACCAGGCAGGAGGTGATGGGAAAGATCTCCGCCTGAGGCCCTGGAGAGCTGTAAAGAGGGGCCGTGGCTCAGTGGTAGAGCATCTGCTTGGCACGCAGAAGGTCCCAGGTTCAGTCCCCGGCAGCATCTCCAGTTAAAAAGGACCAGGCTGTAAATGATGGGAAAGACCTCCTCCCGAGACCCTGGAGAGATTGAAAGAGGGGCTGTGGCTCA